ATTTTCAATAAAAATAAAGAATATTTAAAAATTGAATTTGACATTTAAAACCGGAAGTAGCCCATATCTCGCGTATTTTTAAAGATAAATGTATCGAGTTTGTACTCAATCCAAAAGATTTTTAATTTACTTCAAGAAAGCATCGATTTCGAATCAAAATTATTTTTTTTTTAATTTATTTAATTATGACTGATTTATTTTAAAGATTCTTAATCTTCATTTAAAATCCTTTAAAACGAGCCCAAACACGATGGGGTTATCTCAAAAAACAACCGAGATACAACAAAAAGTTAGTAAACGTCAAATTCGACGTGAAGTTAGCAACATCGAAAAAATAATGATATCTCGGCTATTTTTTGAGATAACCCCTTTGTGTTTCGACTCATTTTAATGGATTTTCAATAAAAATAAAGAATATTTAAAAATTGAATTTGACATTTAAAACCGGAAGTAGCCCATATCTCGCGTATTTTTAAAGATAAATGTATCGAGTTTGTACTCAATCCAAAAGATTTTTAATTTACTTCAAGAAAACATCGATTTCAAATCAAAATTATTTTTATTTTTTTAAATTTATTTAATGAAGACGGATTTAGTTTAAATATTCTTAATCTTCATTTAAAATCCTTTAAAACGAGTCCAAACACGATGGGGTTATCTCAAAAAACAACCGAGATACAACAAAAAGTTAATAAACGTCAAATTCGACGTGAAGTTAGCAACATCAAAAAAATAATGATATCTCGGCTATTTTTTGAGGTAACCCCTTCGTGTTTGGACTCATTTTAACGGATTTTCAATAAAGATTAAGAATATTAAAAAATTAAATTTGACATTTAAAACCGGAAGTAGCCCATATCTCGCGTATTTTTAAAGATAAATGTATCGAGTTTGTACTCAATCCAAAAGATTTTTAATTTTCTTCAAGAAAATGTCGATTTCGAATTTCGAAATGAAGTTGGTAACATATCGAAATTCAACGGGTTTGATCCTGTTAAGTCTTTTAATCAGGTTGGTATTGTCGAGGATTTCAATGGCTTCGACGTTAACGCGACGAACAACATTATTTCAATAATTCTTCGTTGTATAGGTGTAGGTAACTATTGATTGACCGGAATTTGAAAATTGTCTGGTACAAATACAATAATATATTATATAATATTAACGATCAATACGCTATGACGTAATCAAGATAGTTACATTATACAGTAATATTGAACGAAGAAGAGCCTACACCGGTATTTGAGGGGGTTGAGTTCATTACGCGAATCAATTCGGAAATTTGATCCTGTTGAAATGGACACGTTACGTTGAGTATGGTTTCATGTAATAATTAGAACCTATTCTCAAGCGATAATAATAATTATAAACGAAATAATATAACATTTATAACTTAAAAATTGAGATAAGTATTTAAAATGATGAAATTTNTTGAGTATAGTTTCATGTAATAATTAGAACCTATTCTCAAGCGGTAATAATAATTATAAATGAAATAATATAACATTTATAACTTAAAAATTGAGATAAGTATTTAAAATGATGAAATTTAATACCCAACAACCCATATTTTAGAACAAAAATTGGTTATAACCTCAAAACGTCAAAATCCGCCATCTTGTTTTTTAGTTTTATCAATATCTTTTTGAGTTTTTGTCGGAAACGTGTCGTGTTTGGACTTAAATGAATCGTTTTTAAATTTCTTATCGATTAGAAATACTCGTTTATTAAAAATTTTTTTTTAAATTATAAAATTGCTTTAAAATCGGGATAAGAATTTAAAATGTTGAAATTTGATACCCAACAACCCATATTTTAGACAAAAAAAAATTTTATAACCTCAAAATGTCAAAATCCGCCATCTTGTTTTTTATTTTTATCAATATCTTTTTGAGTTTTTATCGGAAACTCGTCGTGTTTGGACTTAAATGAGTCGTTTTTAAATTTCCTAACGATTAGAAATATTTGTTTATTAAAAAATTTTTTTTAATAATAAAATTGGTTTAAAATCAGGATAAGAATTTAAAATGATGAAATTTGATACCTAACAATCCATATTTTAGACAAAAAAAATTTTATAACCTCAAAATGTCAAAATCCGCCATCTTGTTTTTTATTTTTATCAATATCTTTTTGAGTTTTTATCGGAAACGCGTCGTGTTTGGACTTAAATGAATCGTTTTTAAATTTCTTATCGATTAGAAATACTTATTCATTAAAAAAAAATTTTTTTATTATAAAATTGTCTTAAAATTGGAATAAGAATAAAAAATTGCGCAATTTGATACCCAACAACCTATATTTTAGAAAAAGAATAGTTTATAACCTCAAAACGTCAAAATCCGCCATCTTGTTTTTTATTTTTATCAATATCTTTTTGAGTTTTTATCGGANTCGGAAATTTGATCCTGTTGAAATGGACACGTTACGTTGAGTATGGTTTCATGTAATAATTAGAACCTATTCTCAAGCGATAATAATAATTATAAACGAAATAATATAACATTTATAACTTAAAAATTGAGATAAGTATTTAAAATGATGAAATTTGATACCAAACAACCCATATTTTAGACAAAAAAAATTTTTATAACCTCAAAATGTCAAAATCCGCCATCTTGTTTTTTAGTTTTATCAATATCTTTTTGAGTTTTTATCGGAAACGCGTCGTGTTTGGACTTAAATGAATCGTTTTTAAATTTCTTATCGATTAGAAATATTTATTTATTAAAAAATTGCTTTAAAATCGGGATAAGAATTTAAAATGATGAAATTTGATACCCAACAACCCATATTTTAGACAAAAAGAATTTTTATAACCTCAAAATGTCAAAATCCGCCATCTTGTTTTTTATTTTTATCAATATCTTTTTGAGTTTTTATCGGAAATTCATCGTGGTTGGACTTAAATGAATCGTTTTTAAATTTCTTATCGATTAGAAAGCCTTATTTATTAAAAAAAAAATTTTTAATTATAAAATTGTCTTAAAATTGGAATAAGAATAGAAAATGGCGCAATTTGATACCCAACAACCTATATTTTAGAAAAAGATTAGTTTATAACCTCAAAACGTCAAAATCCGCCATCTTGTTTTTTATTTTTATCAATATTTCGCTCAGTTTTTATTGGAAACGCATCGTGTTTAGACTTAAATGAATCGTTTTTTAATTTCCTACCGAATAGAAACACTTATTTATTAAAAAAAAATTTTTCATAATAAAATTGTCTTAAAATTGGAATAAGAATAAAAAATGGCGCAATTTGATACCCAACAACCCATATTTTAGAAAAAGAACAGTTTATAACCTCAAAACGTCAAAATCCGCCATCTTGTTTTTTGTTTTTATTAATATTTTTTTGAGTTTTTATCGGAAATTCATCGTGTTTGGACTTAAATGAATCGTTTTTAAATTTCCTAACGATTAGAAATACTTATTTATTAAAAAAAAAATTTTTTTTAATTATAAAATTGTCTTAAAATTGGAATAAGAATAAAAAATGGCGCAATTTGATACCCAACAACCCATATTTTAGAAAAAGAATAGTTTATAACCTCAAAACGTCAAAATCCGCCATCTTGTTTTTTATTTTTATCAATATCTTTTTGAGTTTTTATCGGAAACTCGTCGTGTTTGGACTTAAATGAGTCGTTTTTAAATTTCCTAACGATTAGAAATATTTGTTTATTAAAAAATTTTTTTTAATAATAAAATTGCTTTAAAATCAGGATAAGAATTTAAAATGATGAAATTTGATACCCAACAACCCATATTTTAGACAAAAAAAATTTTTATAACCTCAAAATGTCAAAATCCGCCATCTTGTTTTTTATTTTTATCAATATCTTTTTGAATTTTTATCGGAAATTCATCGTGTTTGGACTTAAATGAATCGTTTTTAAATTTCCTATCGATTAGAAATACTTATTTATTAAAAAAAAAATTTTTTTATGAATTTTAATTTATTCCAAGAAAACAATTTCGTTTCAAAATCGAAATTTTTCCATTTGGATTATTCGAAATGAAATTTTAAATGAAAAAGATGTCAAGAGGACGCGATCTTAACAAATAGAAGTGCTCCTTAAGATCAAGAAGATGACATTTTTATCTCGATTCTGAGTGATGGCATCAGAAAGCTTGCTTAAACCAACCGATATCCCGCTGATCATAACCTCAGCGACTTCCAGCCCGGAAACAACGCGGAAATCTTCGGTGGCGGTCCAAAATTTAGAAATAATTAAAGACATCAGGAAACTATCGGTCGATATCAACGTGAAGAACCGAAATAACAGCTTCGATGCGAACTCGAACGTTTCGAAAGAGCCAAGAAAGTTGAGCGTGGATAAAAGAAGATACATCGGGGGATCTTTGAAGTACGAGATCGGAAGGAATGAAAGCGTTTCGAATTTTATAACGAAATGGAGTAGCGTTCGAATTAAAGGGACAGGTTTCCACGATTCCGGGAAAAGCGTCGTTAAAATCGAGCCGTGTAATGGGATGCCCAACATGGCCGGAATGAACAATAGGGATTACGAAAACTTGAAAAGTCCGATTAGTCCGGGATCGAATAACGTGAAAAGTAATATTGGAAAAGTAAGTTTCTTTTTTGTTGTGTTTCTGTGTACATTTATCGTTGTGGAGTTAAAACTTATTGATTAGTTCGTGACCGACACATGTTCCTCCTCTCTCTTTCCGAACGCCATCACGTGAATAATGTAGCGTTGAACCGAATACGAAGAACGAATAAATGTTTTAATCACAAAAAACATCTCTTTTACTTTAATTAATTCTCAAAGTTTATTAAAAACAAGATTTAATCATCCCCACCCCCCTATATATTTTCCATTCGAACTTTAAGAGGAAAATATAAAAGCTCGCAGCTTCTATATTCGCCACTTTTCATCCGACTCCAACCCGACATGGGAGTTTCTTGGAATTGTTTCAAATCTAAGGTTTCTTAAATTAAATTATATATTTATAACTGTTTTGATTCATTTTAGGTGCTTTCACTGGGAGCTGACGTTTTGCCCGAATATAAACTTCAAAATCCTACGATTCATAACTGGACGATTCTCCATTATTCGCCTTTCAAAGCAGCCTGGGATTGGATCATTTTGATTCTTGTTATGTACACGGCGATCGTAACGCCTTACGTCGCAGCCTTCTTACTCAGTGAGCCCGATTTTAACACGAGGAAAAATTCGAAAAAATACACGGAGGATCCGATCGTTATCATTGATCTTATTGGTGAGGTTAAAAATGCATTGGGAAAATCAATTTTGATTTTGTTGATTAATTTCTAGTTGATGTGACCTTTATAATCGATATTTTGATCAATTTTCGGACGACTTTTGTGAGTTCTAACGAGGAGGTTGTTTCGCATCCGGGGAAAATAGCCGTGCATTATTTGAAAGGGTGGTTTTTGATCGATTTGGTGGCGGCGATTCCGTTCGATTTGTTGTTTTTTCGACAAGACACCGACGAGGTGAGTGCCAAAAGCGTTTATTTTTATTTAATTAAGTGTTTTTCTTAGATTGTGTTTAGAACGGTGTGTTTTAGAAAAAAATTTAAAAAAAATTAATGATCTAAAATGTATATTATCCCTTTTGGTGTCTTTTTTGATTAATTTTTTTTAATTTTCATTTTTTTTGGTTAGAAATTGGTGTTTCGAGATAAAACTTGAAAATTTTTGAGATATTACAAAAAAAATACAATTTTATTAGGGTAGATTTTAAAGTGTCCATGTTCTTTTGTCTAGTTGGGCTTGGATAAAGACGAGGTAGTCATCCTAAAAATTAATTAAAAAAAATTTAGGCAAAAATTGTATATCTCAAATTTCTCAATCAAAAAACACAAAACAATATACAATTTTTGCCTCGCATACTTATTTATCTTTTAATTTTCATTTCTCCCATAAAACAAATTAAAATCCCTCATTTTTAACGCTATTACTTTTATTATATATTTATTATATATTTAAAGTAAAAAATCACGCTTTTGGCAATATGCAGCTTTTCTCGAAACATTGTCTCGAAAATGCGAGGTAAAAAGAACAACTTTAAATATTTTTGATCAAAAAAAACCCAAGCTGAAATGGCTTTTGGCAGAATTTTTCCTTTTTTATGTTATAAAAGCATGTTATTAGATGTTACAGCAAAAAGAACACAAAATCCTCCCCGCCATAAAATAAAACCATTCAAACACCATTATTATCACAATCTGAACAAAGAGGCGCTTAATTTAAGTCCAAACACGACACATTTATCTTAAAAATAGCCGAAATGATCATATTAATATGATCGTATTTAAGAAGCGCCACCTACATTAAAAGAAAATTAAAAATTATCATTATTTTCGTACTGTTGGAAACGAGACTTTTAATTTGAGCCCAAACACGGCATATTTATCTTAAAAACAACCGAAATGATCATATTAATATGATCGTTGGGCGCCATTTTGATTTTTTTTATCATCCAACCTAATTAAATTAAATGATTTTAAATAAATATTGATTTTATCAAAAAAATTTTTTTAATATAACCTAAATTTATTATTTTTGATAGGCGCCATCTATGTGTTTAAAAAAATTTATAAAAATACCACTATTTTCGCATTCTTGAAAACGAGACTTTTAATTTGAGCCCAAACACGGCATATTTATTTTAAAATTAATCAAAATGATCATATTAATATGATGGTTGGGCGCCATCTTGAATTTTTTTATCGCTCAATTCAACCTAATCGAGTGATACATCAAATTAAAGCTTTTTTCACGGAGAATTTAATAAATTTAAATTAAAAAAAAATTGTAAACAACCTAAATTCCTCATTATTAAGAGGCGCCATCTATATTATTAAAACAAATTAAAAATGATTTATATATTTAAAGTTCGCGCTAAAAAGACGTTTAATTTAAGTCCAAACTCGACGTGTTTATCTCAAAATTAACCGAAATGATCATATTAATATGAACGTTGGGCGCCATCTTGAATTTTTTAATCACTTAACCTAACCTAATCGAGTTACACATCAAATTAAAGCTTTTTTCACGAAGAATTTAATAAATTTAAATTAAAAAAAAATTGTAAACAACCTAAATTCCTCATTATTAAGAGGCGCCATCTATATTATTGAAACAAATTAAAAATGATTTATATTTCTAAATTCGTGTTAAAAAGACGTTTAATTTAAGTCCAAACTCGACGTGTTTATCTCAAAATTAACCGAAATGATCATATTGATATGATCATTGGGCGCCATCTTGAATTTTTTTATCATTTAATCTAATACAATCGCGTTACACATCAAATTAAAGCTTTTTTCACGGAGAATTTAATAAATTTAAATGTAAAAAAAAATTTTAAACAACCTAAATTCATCATTATTAAGAGGCGCCATCTATATTGTTAAAACAAATTAAAAATGATTTATATATTTAAATTCGCGTTAAAAAGACGTTTAATTTAAGTCCAAACTCGACATGTTTATCTCAAAATTAACCGAAATGATCATATATATTGATTTGATCATTGGGCGCCATCTTGAATTTTTTTATCATTTAATCTAATATAATCGAGTTACACATCAAATTAAAGCATTTTTTACGGAGAATTTAATAAAAATAAAATTAAATCAAAACAATTTTGTAACATAACCTAAATTCATCTTTATTAAAAGGTGCCATCTATATTATTAAAACAAATTAAAAATGATTTATATTTTTAAATTCGTGTTAAAAAGACGTTTAATTTAAGTCCAAACTCGACGTGTTTATCTCAAAATTAACCGAAATGATCATATTGATATGATCATTGGGCGCCATCTTGAATTTTTTTATCATTTAATCTAATATAATCGAGTTACACATCAAATTAAAGCATTTTTTACGGAGAATTTATTAAAATAAAATTAAATCAAAAAAAAATTGTAATATAACCTAAATTCATCCTTATTAAAAGGCGCCATCTATGTTATTAAAACAAATTAAAAATGATTTATATTTTTAAATTCGCGTTAAGAAGACGTTTAATTTAAGTCCAAACTCGACGTGTTTATCTCAAAATTAACCGAAATGATCATATTGATATGATCATTGGGCGCCATCTTGAATTTTTTTATCATTTAATCTAATATAATCGAGTTACACATCAAATTAAAGCATTTTTTACGGAGAATTTATTAAAATAAAATTAAATCAAAAAAAAATTGTAATATAACCTAAATTCATCCTTATTAAAAGGCGCCATCTATGTTATTAAAACAAATTAAAAATGATTTATATTTTTAAATTCGCGTTAAGAAGACGTTTAATTTAAGTCCAAACTCGACGTGTTTATCTCAAAATTAACCGAAATGATCATATTGATATGATCATTGGGCCGCCATCTTGAATTTTTTTATCATTTAATCTAATATAATCGAGTTACCCATCAAATTAAAGCTTTTTTCACGGAGAATTTAGTAAATATAAATTTATATTAAAAAAAAAATTTTAACACAACCTAAATTAATCATTATTAAGAGGCTTCATTTATATTATTGAAATAAATTCAAAATGAATAATATTTTTAAATTCGTGTTAATAAGACGTTTAATTTAAGTCCAAACTCGACGTGTTTATCTCAAAATTAACCGAAATGATCATATTGATATGATCATTGGGCGCCATCTTGAATTTTTTTATCACTTAACCTAACCTAATCGAGTTACACCTCAAATTAAAGCTTTTTTTATGGAGAATTTAATGAAGATAAAATTAAATCAAAAAAAATTTTGACATAAACTAAATTTATCGTTATTAAGAGGAGCCATCTTTTTTATTAAAACAAATTCAAAATGATCAATATTTTTAAATTCGTGTTAATAAGACGTTTAATTTAAGTCCAAACTCGACGTGTTTATCTCAAAATTAACCGAAATGATCATATTAATATGATCGTTGGGCGCCATCTTGAATTTTTTTATCACTTAACCTAACCTAATCGAGTTACACATCAAATTAAA